AAGGTAAGCAATGATGGCACCCGCGGTGGCACAGTGGATTAAACCACTGAGCTGCTGAACTTGCTGACCAAAAGGTCGCAGGTTCAAATCCAGGGAGTAGCATCAGCTCCTGCTGTTAGCCCCAGCTTCTGCCAACCTAGCAGTTCAAAATGTGAGTAAATCAATAGGTACAGCTCTGGTGGGAAGGTAACTGCGTTCCATGCAGTCATGGTGGTTACATGACCTTGGAGGTGTCTACGGACAACGCCGGCTCTTCAGTTTAGAAATGGAGATGAGCACCAACCCCCAGAGTCAGACATAACTGGACTTAATGCAGGGGAAAACCTTCACCTTTACTAAACAATGATTTATTACCCAGAATATACAACTGAAGTTTCTAGTTTGATCAAATCTAAACATATTCAGTATGTTTATTCAATATAGAGATTAACAAACTGGTACAAGGTTTTCAGGGATAATTTAATGTAGTCACTACTACATTAATCACAATACATTGGCAGCCTTTTCAGAAGCCATAGATGAGTGGCTGACTGTACTTCAGCAATTGAAATACCCCACTTATTCCCTAAATATAGGACTGCTGTTGAAAATGAATGACCTGGATTTCTGACATTTCTGGGGGCTATGAAAACTAATGGGGCAAGTCCAAAACGTGACGAGCAGTAGGATGATAATGTAATCTATAACAAAGGTTGAGGCCTCATGAACTTTAGAACATAATTCTGAAAGCCTAGAATCAGGCTTGAGCTCCCCCCGAAATTCTCATGGTGGTCCGCGTGAAGACTTTACTGGTACATTATTTAAATTGTTATGTTTATTCATATCATGACCTGATCACCATGCTCAATATATCCTATTGGGGTAACGATACAAAAGGTTTTCTAGGGTAGACCCTTTTTCACTCAGACTCAGCCCCCCCCTCCCCGAATCAAAATCCTGGCTACGGGCCTGCCTGGAATACTTTCAGACTAGGGGCCCTTCCACACAGCCCTATATCGCAGAATATCAAGGCAGAAAATCCCACAATATCTGCTTTGAACACTCAGATAATGTGGGATTTTCTGCCTTGATATTCTGGGATATAGAGCTGTGTGGAAGAGGTCCTAGAGGCAAGGGAATTCAGTCATAGCCATGCAAGGATAACTAACTACTATGTTTGTTTTATATTTGGTTGTCAAAACAGTTTCATTTCTTTTAACACCATTAGCAAGTGGGCTGCATTGGAATTCCTTCTGTAGTATTGAGTTTTTGAGTTTTACTTGCTATTTTATATTCCCCTTTTCACAGAATGCAAATACAGGTGAATAAAATCCCACATTCTCTGCTTTGAACTGGAATATATGGCAGTGTGGACTCAGATAACCCAGTTCAAAGCAGATATTGTAGAATTTTCTGCCTTGATATTCTGGGTTATATGGCTGTGTAGAAGGGTCCTAAGTGAGTTCACATACAGACCTGTATGACTGCTTTTGTGGCCTCCAGTAGGATTGCCATATGACCTGGATGTCAGCTGCCTAGTATGTCAGGACTGGGTGACCTTTATCAATTCTGTTAGAGATGTATTGTGTAAATTAATGTGATTTGAAAATGTAATTTGAAAATTAATGTGATTTGAAAAGAGACGTAACAAGTAATAATGTTATAGACATCAGACCCCTGGGAAAATAAAGATGGATGGGGCTGTCTTTTAAAACTCATACTCATTGACCAACTCATTTTAAATCCTTTTAAGGAAACCATGGGAACAATGGAAATAATGGAGCACCAGGCATGGAAGGCACAAAAGGTGACAAAGGAGACAAGGGAGATCTGGGACCCAGAGGAGAGCGGGGCAATCATGGACCCAAAGGAGAGAAGGGGTATCCTGGCATCCCACCAGAGCTTCAGGTAAAACCATTTGAGGCTTCATCATCATTTTTGTATCAGGAAATCAAGGTCACATAATATGCTTATTAAAGGGATATGGAAATCCATAAGGGAGAATACAGTCTATTTCTGCAGCTCATCCTACCCTCTAGAAGCCCCTGGTGGTAGAAAGGATTAAAGCCTTGTGCTGGCAGGACTGCTGACTGAAAGGTTGGTGGTTTGACTCTGGGGAGTGGGGTGAGCTCCCATCTGTCAGCTCCAGCTTCCCATGTGGGGATGTGAGAGAAGCCTCCCACAGGATGGCAAAACATCTGGATGCCCCCAGGGTAACGGCCTTGCAGACTGCCAATTCTCTCACACCAGAAGCAATCTGAAATTTCTCAAGTTGCTCCTGACATGAGAACCCCCCCCCCAATTCTCTAGAACAGGCATTGGCAAACTTCAGCCCACCAGGTGTTTTGGGCTTCAACTCCCACAATTCCTAACAGCCGGTAAAGTGGTTGAGATTTTTAATTTGTAGGAGTTTAAGTGCAAAACACCTAAGGGCTGAAGTTTGCCCATGCCTGCTCTAGAACAACTGCAGGAAAAATATGGTGTTTGTGGGATCTTCTTCTGAGGTTGAGAGAGTATGACATGCCCAAGCTCAGACAGTGGGTTTCCATGGCTGAGCTACGAGTCAGACTTTGGTCTCCATAGTTGTAGTCAACACTCAAACCAATATATTATGCTACAACTAGACTAGACCTGTTAAATCAACTGCTGAATTAGATGAGCCAGCACATAAGTATTATATACAGTATCTCACGGAGTCAATGAATCTACTCTAGTAAAGACAAAAGAAGAATCTTGGGACCTCATCACATGGATGTTTTTCAGTGTCTTAGGATGCTTTCGAGATGCTGTGAAGGCAGAGCCAGATGAAACCCATCACATGATGCAGGGCTACTTCCAAAGGGGCTCCGTCTTCCCAGCATCCTGGCAGCATCCTAGGACGTTGCCCAGAGACCATGGGAGGCTTTCCATGTTCTCATTGACAAGAACGGGGCCAGCACCGGGCAGTGACACTTTCCCCCATGGGATGAGGAAAGCACTGATGCAGGCGATGTGGGACATAGGGCTACCGTTTACCAAGCTGTCCACCAGATTCACCACACTGCCCCACTATCGCCCGCTTTTTGGACCTCAATGCGATGAGGTCTTTGGCCCCAAAGTTGGGCCAGTAGATGAGTGTCCTGCATATACAGGAGTGGGGAGAATTGAGGACATTGCTCCCCAATTTTTCTCCTAGGTGATATTTTTGTTCAGCACTTGGATGTTTAATATTCTACTGAGTCACTGAAAAATCTCCATATTTAGAATAGTTGGGGGAAGGGGAGGAGAAGAGAATTCTTATTTGGGCGCAGAGCCCCATTTTGACCTCCCCCCCCCCAGTAACTTATTTGTGGACCTACTCCCAACTCTGGAGTTTTGAATTACATTTTTTAAACTAGGACTTCCAGAGTGCTTCAACTGGTATGACCAATAGCCACACTATCTTGGAATTCTCTAGTCCAAAAACCTATTCCTAACCTAAGCAATAGCTTCTCCTTTGGGCACATGCTCCATATAGAATATTATTTTCGGCATCAGAACTCATCCACAGTTTTCTCTCTTGGTTTCCCCATCTCAGCTTCATTTTTTTCCAGCAGCCTTTTTGTTTTGCTTCTACTAAAACAATACCCCCTCCTACCCACCCATTTCCGACTGTGTGCACCATGTATTCTCTTCTCTGATATAATGTGCCCAACAAGATTCTCTTTCTGTCAAAAGCCGATGGAACTATTTTGAAGTGTAATCTTTATTGTGTTAGTCACAGCATGAAAGGATTAGACAAATGTTATTCTAAATTTTCCAAGGGGATTAAAGCAAAAGACATGTTTCTTGTTTCTCTCATTTCCCAAACAAAGGTCTAATCATCTTCACTTTAACTATTGTCTCTGAGATAAAGAAGTTTTGCTTGTTGATTTGTTCTTCAGAATCCAAACATTTATTTCAAACTATTGTGCTGTCATATTTTCCACAATGCCATCTGACTTGTTTCAAGGATTGATTTATCATGTTGTTTACTAACACCCAGTGCAGCAATTGCTGAATTCTGTCAACTCTGGATTAACTATAGAACTACTGATGTCTTTCTGGCATTAAAATTCACGACAGGCTCCTTGGAAAAGTCTTAACCTGTACAGCCCCCCTGTGCTGGTATGGCTGTACCAGGAGCTCCAACTTCTTTTCCTTTCTATTGAGTGTTTGCATGTATTCCAAAATTCCATGCATTTTGCAATAAGGTGGCTTCCCTTGGTTTGCAATCATAGGGCCAATGACCCATCAATTATCATTATGTTCTTTAGTTCCGCCCCTTTTTCTGGGTTAAGGAGGGAAAAGGGGGACCTCTAGTTCAGTTCACACAGAGAAGCCTTTCGTACAGGACGTGAATCAGTTCCACCTGTAGAAAGCTTCGTCTTTTACAGCTTTGCTGGGGGATCCAGTCCCACAGCTCTACAGATAACTACAGCATAGCCTTTGTTGGGGAATTTAGTTCCACAACTCTACAGCCAGCTCTTTGCTGGAGAAATACAGCTCCACGGTTTTACAGCCAGCCTTCGCTGGGAATTGAAAGCCTTCTTTCCTCTTGGAAATCTACTAAAGGACTCTGTTTGGTAAGGACCACTCGTGGCAGCCATAAAGCAATTTGGACCGGGTGTAGGGGCCCACGCCAGCAGAGCTTAAGCCAGATTGCCCAGGGAGGGGTCAAGGATTCCCTTGTAGAAGGAAGAAACAGTTTATGAAGAAAGTTGCCTGTCCCTTGTGGACAAGATTTAAGCAAGCCACCACTTGATTCAAAGCCTTGAAGTATTTGTTTGATTTATTGAAAATTTAAGCAACAATAAAAACTTTGTTGAACTTTCTAAGTCTTTAAAAGAACTTTGTGTGGGGAAATCCGAAAGGCCTCTCAGCCGAGGCACCCCCGGCATCCCGTTGGGCATTCAGAAAACATGTCCTGTCTACAGACTCTTTCACAGGCCCAGTGCGTGACAGCACAGCTGGCCCCCCCCGATAGTCTCATTACTACCTGCTCATGTATGGACATGCCCATTATTCTGACACTGAAAAACAAAGCAAAACAAATCCTTCAGTGAACTGGACCAAGTTTCCCTCTGCATATGTAGTGAGTCCAGTGGAGCTTGGTTAAATTAATAAGCTTTCTCATTTTCACCACCTCCAGTCCTCATAATTGAAGGCAGCCTTCTCGGTCTCACATTAATGCATCGGTGTGTGCTGTCATTGCTATTCTGTTTTTAAAAACCCTAATGAAGTTAGTATTGCATCTGTCTTGCTTGCCCCATTCCTTCCTGTTCCTCTTTGCAGCAAAATGACTTAAGGCCAGCCCTCCACCTTTGCTGGGGTTAGGGGTGCAAGGCCCCCTCAAAAGGAGAAACATCAGGAATTTAAAACAAACTGGTTTTTTAAAAAATCTGAATACCTTTTAGGAATTTTCCCAAACCACTTTGTAGTCAGTCTTGTGGAAGTTGACAATAGATTTGCACTGGAGGACTTAGAGCACATGTGTTAAACTCAAGGCTTGCAGGCTAAATCTGGCCCTCTATGGCATTATATGTGGCCCTCCAGATGCTGAACTACACATCATAACTAGAGCTGATGGAAGCTGTGATTCAGTAACATCTGAAAGCAAGTTTGTTCTGTTTAGCCAGGATAATAGGGTCTAAATTCAAATCCAAGGCTTGTGGATATGATGTCTGACTTTTAAATGTCATTTAACCTTTCCCCAGCCTAAGAGCCACAAGTGCTGTTAGGCTGCAACCCCCAATATCCCCAGTCTGCATGGCAGATAATCAAAAGTGATGGGAGTTGTCATTTTGGAGCTGGTCCTCTGTGTCCATGGATTCTCCATCATTGGATTCAGCAGCTCTTTGAAGGCAACCATGACGTGGTCCTTGATGAAAATGAGTTTGACACCCCTTAATCAGAGATTCCAGAGAAACCTGAAAATGCAGAGGACCAATCTGGCTGACTCGAGAGAAAACTTTCACTTTGACAATACAAAATAGTACAAACAACAGAGTATCATATTACCTTAGAGATGTTACCTTGTAACCTTTTATGAACAGTGTCTCACTTCATCAGATGGATGAATATCTGATATCTAAGCTACCTTATGCCATATGAATCTGCAAGGCCTCAGTCCAATTGCTAGCCCTAATCAGAGTAGATCTGTTGAATCAAAGAGTTTTGGGGATGTGTTGACTTATTGTTCAGCATCTGATCTTATAGGTCTATACTAATCTAGGCAAGCAACTACAGTAAATTTAGACCTTAGACTTTAAGGTACCACAAAACTCTTTGTACATTTTTATACTATACAAGTAGTCCCCGAGTTACAAATCTCTGACCTACAAATGACTCATAGAAAACAAGAAGTGAGAGAAATCTACCTCTCAGAAGGGAAATTGACTCCTGGAAGAGATAGTATCATGGGGAAAAGGTGTCTCCACTGAAGATTTCTCACCAATCCTTGTTTCCACAACAAGCCAATTTTTTCAAAATCCAATAATCACAGGGACAGAGTGTGGTGAAATCTTCTGAACAGTGACAAAGACAGCAAAACAAACACCACTGGGTTTTGTGAACCATCTCCAGATAGAAAACAAGGGTGGAAATTCTCAAATCCCGAGGACTCATTTGCAGGCTAGAGGAGAAGCCTAGGTCTAAATCTACAGCTAAACCTTGCTGCAATTTGCCACAATTCATTAATTTCTTGCTTCAATTTGCAATTGCCTTCTAGAGAAGTCTGTGCATTCACTCAGTTAGCTTCTTTCCCTCCCAGTTGTTGGATGCCAGGGTTCATTCTGTAAGAAAGTGAGAAAGACAATCTCCACATTTCACCTTGATTGGGAAATACTCCAGACTTTTGCTAAGATGTCTTGATCTTAATTTCCAAACAGGGAAATATGTTCTTTTCCTCAGTGTGTATGTTTATATGATAAACTGTGGCAAGTGTGGTTGTTGATAGTTAATGACTTCATGATATCTCAGGTTTTAGTCTATAAATCTTGGGACCTGGGATGATCTACAATTGGCTGCCTTAGTATATACCTGGGTACACTATAGAGCATAAATGGGTATCATATTATAGCACTTTGCAGTAGACAAATACTTAACCCTTTCCCAGTATTTCTTTTTCATTAATTTAATTAATTTCCCAGTATTTCTTTTTCATGTAAGGAGCAACTTGAGAAACTGCAAGTCGCTTCTGGTGTGAGAGAATTGGCTGTCTGTAAGGATGTTGCCCAGGGGATGCCCAGATGTTTATGATGTTTTACCATCCTTGTGGGAAGCTTCTCTTATGTCCCTGCATGGGGAGCTGGAGCTGACAGAGGGAGCTTATCCGCGCTTGCCCCAGATTCGAACCTCTGACCTGTCAGTCTTCAGTCCTGCCAACACAAGGATTTTAACCAATTGTGTCACCAGGGGTTTCCAGTAATGACCTTCATCTTTGGTAAACACAGCACTCTGTTGAACATGCAAACAGCCTGGTTTGACAGAAGACCCCAAAGCAGAGTCTTGGTGAAAGAAAGAGGCCATAATATGCCAAAAATAGGAGTTTAAATTTAATACTCTGCAAATGACTGTTGGGGGCAGTGGAACATTTCCGCTGTGCCACTTCCAGGGTCTTTCTAGAAAATCTCAAGACAGCACATATTATCCTATCCCCATTAAAAGTATTGCAAACTATAGCCTTGTAACAGTGATATTTCTTGCTCAAAACCACATAATGGGTATTTCTGGGATCAGTATGATTGTTCATTCTCAACAGATTACTAAAATGTACAGGAGAACAAAAACCTGTTAGCATGTGGTGTGTGGGTGGGTAGAATTAAAGGTTTGGAAGTCGACTGGACTTTAGGAGAAAGTAACCATTTTGAACAAACAGTATGGATATTTTCTTGATAAGAACAAAGTAAAATACTTCAAAAAGGGCTTTAAACTATAAGTAGTACATTTCCAAATTTCTGGCACTTGATTTATAAAAGGGCAAGATCTGATGCCATGCTGAGATAGAGTGCTTGGGTTTGTGTACTAAATTAGGTTTCTTTTCTCAGGTGATGATTAAATTACAAGGTTTTGAAACAGAACTTTGAAAATAGATTTTACACTTTACAGTGTCCAAATGCCATCAAAAAAGCAGAACTGTATTCACTTTGTTTTTGTTTTGTTTTGTTTACTAATGGTAGGATTTGTATTCCATAGAAACATATATGCAGTTTGGCTGCAAGTATTCCCTCCTTTTAGAAAAGCAAAACCTTTTAGAGATCATAACCTTTTAGAAAATGGTATTCATAACTTTTTAGAAAAGGGCAAAAAACCAGTTTGAGAAGAATCTTCACAAGTGATATACAACCAAATGTAATTAAGCAAGGCAATTGGCTTCAGTTGTTAGACTGAATAACTTGTTGTCTCTGATCTGTTAGGAAAAAGAGTATACACCAGTGCATAAAAATAGCAGTTCTTCAGAAGTGTTTTTCAGTGCCCAAAATATATCTACTCTCCCATAAAACAGCTTGTTTTATATTATGCACTCAAGAGACAAAATAAAGTGGATTTTGGTAAAAAAAAAATTAACATATTTGGTTTACTCACAACTTTCACATGTTCAGCATACACAGGTACACAACTTAAAAGTCAGTTACAGTTATGTTTGAGATAGTTTATGTGCCATCTGGTCAAAACATCTATCTCGCAATAAAGAGCAGGCAAGTGTTTGCAAGCCTGCGATCTGAGCAGTCCCAAAGTCTAAGAAAGTCTGTGCTCTGTGCTCATCTCAGAGCAGATCATGTGGTCTGCAGCAGCTCCACAACTTCTCAGGGAAACATAGAGCAAGGAAAGAAAGCTGAGTATCACAACATACATACAATAAGTAAGCAACAGGATTATAAACAAATTACTATAGGAGCTTGAAGAAGATTGTAATTTCCAATGCACCTACTCACCCCCGCAAGAATGGGAAATGTTCCTCCAATGCTGAAAGAATAGAATAAAAGATTTTGAAAGTTATGTGATAATATGACACACACTTTCATCCCATTTCACACTTCACAGTTAAAAGTACTTAAGGGATGCAGGATGGATGTTAGGAAGATTGTAAATTTGATATTAACTGCCTTCAAGTCAACTTTGACTAATGGTCACCCATGAAAGAGAGACCTCCAAAATGTCCTATCTTCAACAGCTCTGCTAAGGTCTTGCAAACTCAGGACTAGAACATTGTGTTCCTCTTTTCCCATTACCCCCCCTCTTGCCAAGTATTACAACCTTCTCTAATAAATATAGTTTCCTCATGATAAAAGCAAAGTGCCTTAGTTTAATTATCTTGGATTCTAGAGAGAGTTTGGGTCTGATTTGCTGTAGGACCCATGTTTTTCACACAATCTACGAGGTCCATTCTCTAGCACCAAACCTCAAATGAATTGATTTTTGTATCAGCCTTTTTCAGTGTTCAGCTTTCACAACCATAGTAATAGAAAATTGCATGAGGCATCCCAACTTTAGTGTTCCTTGAAATATCTGTATTTCAGGATAATAAACTTTCAGGAGATGAAGCCAGGCCCTTTTATTTGACAAGTATCATATAATGAAATTATGTTTGCTAAGATTTTCTACATTTCAGACAAAAAGTCTGAAGGATTTGCTGAGTCTCCTTGATTTCCAGTTTCTCGGTTAAATATAGCAGCTAAATTAAATAGACTTCAGAGATGTATTTTGCCTAATAACCATGGCCAAAGCATTAGCCACATCAACATAAAGTTTTTCTACCTTCCACAGAATGAGCTTTGCAGTACTAATGATTCACAAAACAGTGTAAGCTTACATAGAGGATACAAGCCAATGAATATGAGATACCATGACCACAAAGTCCCACTGAACTGATTCAAAATAGCCTGAGATAAGCTATTAGTATCAAGGATTGTGTGAACTACACTTAATATATTGTATGTGTCCCCAAAACCTAAATTCTGCAACTTTTTAAATTACTCAGATTTCAAAACTCATGTACAATGTATTGTGTGGTGGAGCCCCACTTTGAAAGCACCCCAGTCTTATGCATGAGAAGAAAGCCCCACCAATGTTTTTGGTTTCTTATAATGGCCCCATGCATTGCACATATAGTTGACAAGCAATAATACTGAGAACCATTTTGCGAATGAGAAGCTGAAGAATAAAACCAGCCCTTAGTTTCTTCACCCAGTAAATAATGGAGTTTGAGAAAACTATTTCCTTCAGACTGCTCAGTGGTTAAGATGGCACTAAATGATGTGAAATATCCTCCAAGGATGCAGACACTACAGTGGTTTTTGTGTTGAAATGCAATCTCTGACTGAGATGTTTGCCCTTCAAACATCCAGCTATGCATTTTCTTTCTGTACATGAAGAGGCCTCTGTCCATATGTAAATCAATGAGACTTTTGTCACTGGAGTTTCCTTGGAGCTGGCCCATGTCCTAAAAGTACATTTTGAAAATTAAAGCAAATATACCTCATACCCCTCTGGAGAAGAACCTCATATGGAATGAATAGGTTCCAAGTGTGTCTTAACTATTTGTCATTCCCAACTTGCCATTAGCTGCTGTCTAAACACACGCTGTATTTGTATAGGTTGCATTCATGGCTTCAATGGCAACACATTTCAGCAACCAGAACAGTGGAATAATCTTCAGTAGTGTGGAAACCAACGTGGGCAATTTTTTTGATGTAATGACTGGTCGATTTGGAGCCCCAGTGAATGGTAAGTGAACAGAGAAAGAGAAGGGAAGACCAAAGGCCTGGTGAATGAAGGAATATCTGCACTGCTCAGATATATCAGTTTCATGCCTCTTTCACTGCTATACCTTCATCCGAAGGGATACTGGATTTGTAGTTTGCTAGAGAATCTGCCGCAGTGTTTTTGCCCCAGATGTTTTTGGCCTTCAACTCCCAGAAATCCTAACAGCTGGTAAACTGGCTGGGATTTCTGGTAGTTGTAGGCCAAAAACATCTGGGAACCCCAGGTTGAGAACCACTGAAGAGGACTTTTTAAAAAATATAATTTTAACCTAGATTGTATAATATGTGTTATGAATAACTTTTCAATAACTTTAAAGTATAGATTGTTTTATTGCAATTTTCCAGTAAGAGAAAGGGTATCAGAACTTTTACATTTTTACACAAAGAACAACATTGGACATGCCGATTCTATGTAATTACATTGAACCCACAAACAACCTACAGTTACATTGACTAACTAACAAACAAAGGGGACTTACATTTTTACCCAGGATTCACATTACACATACACATTCAGTCATTCTCATGCACTCAAATATTACCATATCATTTTTCCTCCTTGGAAAAGCACCTGCTTAGGCCAGACCCTGCTTTCCCTGCAGCCTGCCAACACACAGTTCCAAAACATCAAAATGTATCCTCTTTCCCTAAGAACAATGCCAAGGATCGGGCCACTGTTTTCACTACAGTAGAAATGGACTTCTTGCAAATGTATCATGACTCTAAAATCACACTCCTTTCTCTTCCCTTGAGAAAAGGAGCAAGTGACCAGACTGTGTTCCATTGCAGATCTGCCACTCCCAAAGGTACACCATCTCTTTCCTTCCCATGGAGAAGAGCATGGCGGGTGAACAGCACAGCAGACCATTGCTATCTGACACAATTTTGGAATTGTAATAAGGTCTCTTATATAGCACTATTTCTTGCTTATGTTGATCCAAAATTGTAACTGAATGATAGATGTTTTTCCAGCCTGAAACATCCTGGTTTCATCTCAGTTCCTGGCAGATGTTGACTCTTAATTGGTTTTGGCAAACGTAAGGAGCCTTGCGTTGACTTCCTTCTTAATGTAAGGAACCTTGTAAACATTTCCTTATCTTACATTATCAGAGTCATTGCCTCTGATAATGTAAACGGAGATAATTTCCCTTAATCTGGTTTCTGGTCAGCAAATATCGACAGATGTAAACAAATGTAAACATTTGTCTTATCAGTGTCACAGTTCTTATCACAGATCAACCATTTCAATTCTCATTAGCAGGTTTTAATTACAGTTCACCAAGCAGGTAGTTATTGGTTTAGTCATTGCAGGCCTTAATCTTTGGAATGGTGTCTCCAAAATTATTAGCTCTCATTCATGCATTTCTTTCATTTAGTTCATTCATACCTACATATCAAATCCACATTTATCAAATCTGCATATTATATTAATATGACACACAATCAAAATAGAAGAAAATATGAAAAGGACACACAGAGTATGTGTATACATTTATGTGTATATTCCACAATTACAGATCCAACGAAGAATTATTAGTAACCATAGCCACATATTATTACACATATCAGTTTTCTTCTTGCTCAAAATGCTCATAAATAGTTTCCATTCTTTCAAGAAAGCTTCTACTGATTTGTCCTTTAAAACCCATGTTTAACCTGGCAATTTGAACTAATTCAGCTACTGCTTGTCAGTGCTTTGGCCCATTTCAAAGTATGGGCAAACAATATTCTTGCGTTACCATATATAAAAACAGGTAGTTCCTATTTACTATCCAATTTTTTTCCCATAATACCTAACAAAAACATTACAACCTTTAGAATGGTTTGAATTACCTTACTTACTTAAGCGATTCCTCATTGTCTGAGTATGATGGTCTTCCATGTGTAATGTCTTGAGGGTGGGTTCGTAGGTGACTGTGGAACTCTATTCTTGACCCGCATGTTCTTCCACAGTCAGGGCATTGGTTTCCAGACGGAAGGCAGTCCTGGTCAGGGTTGGCTTGATGCGCCTTCCTCTTGCCATGTTTTTCCCTTTCGCCCTCCGTTCGTGCCTCTTTGAATTCCCCAGCACAGCTGATTTGAGTTAGGTACATTCTAGACAACCCAGTCATGTTAAGCAATAATTAAGGATTTTGAAATGTGGAGTCCGAAACTCCTGGAACCCCAAATTTTGAGGACCTCTGGACAAGACTTCTCTAAAAGAAAATTCTAAGTGTCTCAGCAAAAAATAAATTCTGGGATTTTGTAGGTTGGAACCATGACCGTTAGAGTGGTATGAAACTGACACAACTGTGTAGTTTTAAAAAGTAGCTGCTTGTTAACTTGTAAAAATTAATGTGTCAATATTATTTGTCATTATAATAATAGAATACATTAAATATATTTTTAAAAAACAATTTACCAAAATAGTTAACTTTTTCCCCAAAACATTTTTTTAACCAAAAGCACCATTACTCATTATAATAATAATAAAAGAGAGGATGTAACATTGCTTGCTGTTACATTACTTTAAAAATGCCATTCCCCTCCTCCATATCATACCCGAGGTTGTCTAGAGAAATCTTTGCAAAGTTGCAGGATAGGTTTAAGGGGTTGCTAAGGAAATATGTTTCTAGGAAAGTCTTTTAATATAGCTGGATTATGATTCAAGTCAACAATGGAAAGGGGGCTTAACACAGATTTCAACCACTGTCTGTTCCCAATTTAATAAACCAAATCCTCTTTTTTTCAGGGGTGTATTTCTTCACTTTCAATATGATGAAGCATGAGGATGTGGAGGAAGTGTACGTTTACTTAATGCACAATGGGAATACAGTTTTCAGCTTATACAGGTGTGTTGACTGGCAACAGTGGCCTTTTTACAATTACAAAAAGGGACTATATCTATATGGCAGGGCATGTACTTGACAGACTAACAGACCTGGCTTCAAACCCTACCATCTGAGTTAAGAAAAGGATCAGGTGACAAGTGATGCGAGGAGGCTGGCTGTTTGAATAAAAAATGAACCAATAGTGTAATTCAGAGTAATGCCTTACTTGTAAAAAGAGTTAGCTGACATTGGGAGTATCAATTAGTCAATTCACTTTGCCAAATGTCCAGTCCCAGCCATCTCTGCTGGAGGACAGCAGAACAGTCCCACTTACAGTAGTTCTCTGTTGTTCTACTTTTTAGCAATATTTTAAAAGTCCCAATTTCTCTTTCCTCCTTCCATTTCCCCCCTTATAAGAGCAAATGAAATTTTGTCCTAGTCTTGCTCAGCTCTTTAAACCGCTCCTCATAAGACTTGTTCTCCCGACCCTTGATCATTTAGAGGAGGGTGACTAAAGTGATCAAGGGTCTGGAGAACAGGCCTGAAGCGGCTTAAAGAGCTGGCATGTTTAGCCTGAAGAAGAGAAGGCTGAGAGGAGACATGATAGCCATGTATAAATATGTGAGAGGAAGTCATAGGGAGGAGGGAGCAAGCTTGTTTTCTGCTGCCCTGGAGACTAGGAGGTGGAACAATGGCTTCAAACTACAAGAAAGGAGATTCCACCTGAACATTAGGAAGAACTTCCTGACTTTGAGAGCTGTTCAGCAGTGGAACTCTCTGCCCCAGAGTGTGGTGGAGGCTCCTTCTTTGGAGGCTTTGAAACAGAGGCTGGATGGCCATCTGTCGGGGGTGCTTTGAATGCGATTTTCCTGCTTCTTGGCAGGGGGTTGGACTGGATGGCCCACAAGGTCTTTTCCAACTCTATGATTCTATGATTCTTGTCCTTCCCAGTAGTTTCAGCCAAAAGCCAAAATACTGCAGCCTCTCCTAGATTCTTCTTCACCATTAACGTTCCAGTCTTCACCATATCTGGCCACACAAGTCTGAATTTTCATCCCTAAAATGTTGGAGGGTATGCTTTCTCCAATTCACCACTTTCCTCACAGTAGTCCTCCTTGCCTGCAGGATCCATATTTTCATGAGTAAGTATTTGCTCAGTTTAACAATGGTAAGATATTAAAGTTCATCTTTGGTACCTCTATTCTTAGCTATGAATCGAAAGGAAAAACAGACTCATCGAGCAACAGTGCGGTCCTTAAACTTGCCAAGGGAGATGAAGTTTGGCTGCGGATGGGCAACGGGGCCCTACATGGGGATCATCAGCGCTTTTCCACCTTTGCAGGATTTCTTCTTTTTGAAACCAAGTAGATAAAACATGTTAAGACAAATATTTCTATATTTTATCTGTTCTTTGGGTCAACTTAGTAATACACTAAAACTGCAGGGCCTTTTTACAATCGGGTCTATGGCGCATGATAATAAAAGTTAAGCCTGGATGATGTATATTTGTCTTTAAATGTCACGATGAATCACCCTTTCTCTAGTTTTGAGCAGATTTATAAAGATTATTTTCCCAAACATGTTACCCTATTTGTCCTAACATAGAGAGATCGTTTCTGAGGCCACATGTTCTTAAAGATTTGTTGCAGATTCCTATATATGGAATAACTTGCTTCTTCACAATTACTGGAGAAATTATTGGGTCAGGAGTTTCATATACGCTCCAGAGATTGTTCAGTTCTAAAAAATAAATAAACACACACCCAATCTTGCAGGCATACTGCACTGAATTCAGCACAAGCTACTTCTGCGCACAAAGAAGCTTCACTTAACTGATGCAAGCCTATGCAGGGCCAGTTTCAGATTTTGCACTAGCTCATTGTAAATTTACTATGATTGTTTGAGCATGCCAAAGAATTGCTAAATTTATTGCTAACCTGAGCATTAAACTTCGTTTTAAGAGTACCGTATTTTCCAGCGTATAAAACAACTGGTCGTATAAAACTACTTCCAACTTTTCCAGTTAAAAGATAGTTTGGGATATACTCGCTGTGTAAGATTACCCCTCTTCCAACACACACTAAATAAAAATTAAAAAAAAACATCAGATTTGATTTCAATATGGTAATTTTCCTATTACCATACCTCCTTCTCTGCCTCTCAGATCTCACACGTGCGTGCCCGCTTCAGTGCAGTCCCCAGGAGCGGGATCTGAGAGGCAGAGAAGGAGGTACGGTAATAGGATACAAGGGCAGGTCAGACGGGTGAAACAGGTGTTTTTTTTTCTGGGCCCAGCACCTCTTTATCTCTTTTTTCCATACCCCGGGTGTTCCAGACACCTGCAGCTTGCTCCGCTCTTCCCTTACACCTTCCCGGTGAGGCGCCCCTTCACCTCGTCATCGGGACCGTGTTAACTCACTTATTTCCATGAATCTTGGTGAGTGGATTTTTCTCTATCATATTGTACTTTGCTGCTTTCATACAGTTACCACATACAGCACGGATGTGGACACAGCCATTTTTTAGCTCCCCCACCATATGCGACGACCACAGATTCTCCAGTCTGGCTTGGAAGTTTCAGCACCTGCCCTTTAAGACGATCCCTGACTTTTGAGAATATTTTCCTGGGTTAAAAAGTAGTCTTATACGCCAAGAAAATACAGTAATCCCAGCTCAGATGCCCCACCAACTTTTTATCATAATTGATAAGGTTGTTTATTTCCTAATAGTCTACACTACATTAAGTTGAAATTGGAGGAATAATCCTAAGGAGCTGAAACATTCTGAAACCACATTTTCTTGAGTCCTGTTGGCATCTGTCAGGTGAAGGACACACTACTTTCTAATCCTGTGTAGGATTTTCAAGCATCAACTGGTAAATGCAAACGCTTCTGTCTAACAGCATTGTGGGTAGGCACTTATATCATTTTTCAATTGTAGGGTTAACTTGTGCCAGAAAAGATCTTAATGTTTTAAATATAATAGGAAAATGTTAGCATGCTTTAGAACCCATGGAAGAAATTGCATTAATCCCTGTTAACATTATTTTTAATTCTAGCTTTTATTAATACAAAATCCTTTTGTATTTGTTGTCAAGACTGTATTTTGTAAACTGAACCTTTATTAATTAAAGATAATTTTGGATATGTGTCTTGTGGAGAATATTATACACACACAAAAGGTCAACCAAAAGAACGTGTTTGCATTGTAGAATTAATGCAGTTTGACACCAACTGAACTGCCATGGTTCATTGCTATGGAATCATGGGATTTGTAGACAGGTGAGGCACTAGCATTCTCTGGCAAAGAAGGTCACAGACTAGTAAAACTACAATTTCCAATGAAAATACACAGTGAAAAGGTCTTTTGCTATTCACCTACATTCTGTTTTCCATTCTTGAGTGGAGGGTAAAGCAACTGCCTGAGGGAAGCGGTGATTGGGCATTCAGATGTGGCATTTGGTCCAGCGAAGTTGGTGGCAGATTATCTCTTTGATGCTAGTGGTCTTTGCTTCTTCTAGAATGCTGACAGAGGCTGGATGGTCATCTGTTGGGGGTGCTTTGAATGTGATTTTCCTGCTTCTTGGCAGGGGGTTGGACTGGATGGCCCGAAATCTCTTCCAACTCTATGATTCTATGCAAATGGAGAATTTTGCTCCATCTAGAAATGCTACATTGAGAGGTTGCTGAAACACTAAATATAAACTGAGTATGCCAGATTCTCTTTGTTGTCCTTTTGAAAATTAAATAGTAGCTACTGAAGGTTGGGAGATGGTTACTAGGGCTGGGCGGTTTCGTTCGTTAATTTCGTAATTAGTTAAAAATCGTTATTTTTTTTATAACGAAGCGATAACGAACCATTCAGGAGCAACTAAAAATCAAAACTAATTTTTCAATTCATTTCGTAATTGTTTCGGATTCGTTTTGTATTCGTTTCATTATCGTTTCGAAATCGTTTCGTTATTATTTCCGCATGTCTGGGGCAAGTTTTATAGTTGTTGTTTGTTTAATCAGTGAAAAAAAATTATAAATATCACACCAACAGTCAACAACAGAGGGAGAGGGAAGCTTCAGAAGTTCCCCCTGTCCCATTTGGAGGTTTTTTAGCGTATTGCGCGGTCGCGTCCGCCATTAACGAATCGATTCGTTATTGTTTCGTAATTGTTTCGTAATTTACGAAATTTCGTAAATATCGAACTTTTTAAAAGAAAAATTTTGGAATTCTTTTAAAATCGAAATGCAAAAACCCCCAAAAAACGAATCGAGTTTAGAAACAAATTTTTCCGTGGTTGCCCAGCCCTAATGGTTACTCCACCCCTTGGCTGTCATATTCCCTGGTCTTCTTCCCCTCCAGCCCTAACTCACTTGTGGTCTTCACTAGAGGACTCAACTGTATGCAAAATTACAGAAGATAGAGTAAAACTAATTAAAAAGTGCCAAACAGGTTCTTCTGCATTGCAAATATCATGACTGCAGGGGGAAAAGCAGGAAGGTACAATATGAAAATCAAGCAACGAGACTATACAGACGAGAAAAAAGGGGTAGCTATGGAAACATTCAATTTGATTCTGGAATGTAATGGAAATCTTAACAGTGCAAGAAGGGCCTGATCTCCTATTGAACCTTAAGAAGCACATACTATTCTAGCACTGGAGTCAATAACAAATATGTGCAAGAGCGAAGTTGTAATTTATGGCAGAATTGCTAAGTGCTGTCAAATGCCTTGAACCTTAGTGGAAAGCCATAACATGATTTCCCAAAAATGGCTCATCTCCCTTCTTGCATTTCCACTCAGGGTTCTAGGGGACTTGTTGTGTCTCTGTCTCCTAGGGTGCATCTACACTGTAAATATAATGCAGTTTAACACCACTGCCATGGTGGAATGCTTTGGAATCCTGGGCTCTGTAGTTTGGTAAGGCACCAGAGCTCCTGGGCAGAAAAGTCTAAATATTTTAAAATGACAATTCCTATAATTCCAAAACATTGTGCCATGGTAGTTAAAAAGATGTCAAACTGCACCAAATCTACACGAATGGGAAATATGCTACCGGGATGGCAGGTCCCAGAAGCCCTAGTCAGAATAGCCAATGTTGAGGAGTGCTGAGAATTGCAATCCAAAAGCATCTAGAGATCTGCGTGAGTTCTTCATTCGACTTTTACTAGAAGCACAGCTATTGTTGTTGTTTATTCATTCAGTCGCTTCCGACTCTTCGTGACCTCATGGACCAGCCCACGCCAGACTCCCTGTTGGCAGTCACCACCCCCAGCTCCTTCAGAGTCAAGCCAGTCACTTCAAGGATACCATCCATCCATCTTGCCCTTGGTCGGCCCCTTTTCCTTTTTCCTTCCATTTTCCCAAGGATCATTGTCTTCTCTAAGCTTTCCTGTCTTCTCATGATGTGGCCAAAGTACTTCATCTTTGCCTCTAATATCCTTCCCTCCAATGAGCAGTCGGGCTTTATTTCCTGAAGTATGGACTTGTTGGATCTTCTCGCGGTCCAAGGCACTCTCGGAATTTCCCTCCAACACCACAGTTCAAAGGCATCTATCTTCCTTCGCTCAGCCTTCCCTATGGTCCAGCTCTCACATCTGTAGGTTACAGATAGAAGAGTACTGTTGTGAAATGAGACTAAGTAATCATGTAACCCTGTATCCTGTTTCTTAAAGCTGACAATAAAATGATTAAAAATGCAAAAAAATAAAATAAGACATGGATGGAGGTAACACCATTCTCCTGTTGCCTGCACACTTATCCATATTGACAATTGATATGTGATGACACAGTGCTTTAGTTCTGGGCCAAAATTAGAGAGCATTATGAGAATAATGCCTGTTGTCAAGGAGGCTCTGAGCTCCGCTCCTCCAAGCTTTCTGCTCTCTTCATAGGAGGGATGCTGACTTCTTGGATGTTGCATAAATGGGAATGACAAAATAATTGCAACAGAAGGGGGGATGCTGTTCTTGAGGCCCATCAGCTGCTAAGGCTGCAAAAAGTGAAAAAAATGTTGGGATAATTTTTGCTTAAGTATTTTGTGATTATTAGCACAATGTACCTGAGAAGTGGTTGAAGTTTGGTACTGATGACAAAGATGTAAAATGCCTGTCCTGCGAGTCTTATTCTGTGCAAATTCTGCAGTACCACGTGAATCTGGAGGACTAAAATGTCCCATTCAAATGGATGAGGTTTAAATTACTTGCTCTGTGTATTCCATTTTTACAGCTCTGTCTTTTGAAAAGTATGCCAATTATGTTGCAAGTTTGTTTTATGTTGCTTTAAAGAATAACAATTTTATTTCTTAATTGCCTGTCCTAGTGGCTGAGACAGAGCAATGGATTCAGATTGCAGGAAAAGGGATTCCATGTAAACATTAGGAAGAATGTATTGTCGAAGTCTTTCATGGCTGGAATCACGGGGTTGTTGTGTGTTTTCCAGGCTGTATGGCCATGTTCCAGAAGCATATCTCCTGACATTTCGCCTGCATTTATGGCAGGCATCCTCAGAGGTT